GCAACTGTATTTCCCGATGTAGGTGAGAGTCATGGGAAGGAGAACGCTTGAGAAGAAAAGTACTTAGGTTACATTTTGAGGCAAGATATGGAAAGGGGACCAGATACAGATATAAGGTGATGTCCCATTACACCACCTAACATTATCATACTTAGAAAATTAATCATCTATTTACTTATGTTTCCTTTCATTGGACTATAAAATCATTGAGTACAGTAAATGGTGTGTGTGTGTGTGTGTGTGTGTGTGTGTGTGTGTGTGTGTATATTTGAAATTCTATTAATTAGATTTGTACTGAGCTCATAGTGTGATGCATGGTAATTCTGGGTGCTCAATGAATACACTGCTAACAGTGGTAAGGATACTTTAATGCAGTTAAATGTAGAGAAGGGAGAGAGGAACCTTTAGAAAAAGGATTCTCACTCATGGCAGCACTAATGTTTTAGGCTAGGCATTTTCTTTGTCGTGGAGGAATATCTTGCAGGATGCTTTGCAGTCTCCTTAGCTGCCATCCTTTATGTCACAGGAGCAGGTCCCTGCCAGTTGTAAGCACCAAAAATGCCTCACACATTACCAAATAACTCTTAAGGCAAAGCTGCCCCCCACCAGCTGAGACCCATTGGTTAAGCCATGAAATCAACTCGTAATAGAATCTCAGGAGGACTTGGATGTCTGGTGACTGGGGGAGGGCGAAAGAAGCAGACTTAGGAAGAAATCAGGCTTGATGCTAGATACCGTAAGAATAAGATACTTGTGGGACCTCCTAATAAAGATGTGCAGCAGGTGGTTGGGTGGCTGGGTCTGTGCTTAAGGAGAGATTTCATAGCTAAGAAGTGGGGATCATTTGCGCATCTATGGGTAGCAATACCACGGGAGTGGATGGATTCACTCAGGGAGACTGGCAGAGTGACTTAAGGACAAGGCAAGCGTAACACGAAAAATCAAAGACCCAGAGACAGATATTGGGGCTCAAGCTGAGGGTCAGGTAAGCAAAGCAGCCAGCCACTAGATCTTACCTCTACCAAGCTGAAATGGCAAATCTGTCTCCACAAATCCTCAGAGGCAAAAGCACTGAATTCCTGTCTCCTTCCTCCTTTTATTACTTTCTCTGCTCAACCACATCCTCCTGTCTCCACCTCCCTAGTGCTGGGATTAAAGGTGTGTGATCCCAACCAAATGCTGGGATCAAAGGTGTGAGCTCTGTTACTCTTCACTCTTGTGCAGCCCAGGGTGGCCTTGAACTCAGAGAGATCCATCTGCCTGTCTCCTGGGATTAAAGATGTGTGCCACCTCTGCCTAGCTTCTACAGCTAACTAGTGTGGCTGGCTTTGCTTTCTGATACTTCACACAATCTTTATTAAATCATAGATAATATATCACCACATGCAGGAACTCTGCAGAAAACCAAAAGCTAAGGTTGGCACCATTATTAAATAAGCATTAGTTGAGAGGGAAGATCAAAGAGAAGTATGTGTCACAATGTCTTTTTTTAAAATATTTTATTTATTTATTATGTATACAACATTCTGTTTCCATATATATCTGCACACCAGAAGAGGGCACCAGATCTCATAATGGATGGTTGTGAGCCACCATGTGGTTGCTGGGAATTGAACTCAGGACCTCTGGAAGAGCAGTCGGCGCTCTTAACCTCTGAGCCATCTCTCCAGCCCCACAATGCCTTTTTAAAATAAGTAATCTCGGTACCCTCCATGGCCCATGTGAAGGCTAAAGTAAGTAAACCATGTGCATGGAGGTAGTCAGGGAAATATGTGATGATTCATTTCCTTATTACAAAGAACGTTAAATGCATTGTTTGCTGAATCATATTTCCTTTCTATGTTTTCAGTGTAAAAGTAACACAAGGCAAAACCTTAAAGAGTTTCATAATCCTATTACTGTGAACTGAGAACCCTATCATGCATTTATTAGCAATATCATTTCACATTCTTGTCATCGATGTTCAAAAACAGCACTGCAAAGGTAGACTCGGGGGAAATATAGATGCTCTGTATAGAGACATATCCGCTAGCTGCTGATAAGGTGCTGCAGTGACAATTCTTGAATAAAATAAAATGTCAGGAAGCAACAGACAAAAAGAGCTTACCAGATAGAAAGCAAATCTAATAACAGGAAATAGTATTGCCGTTGGCAGGAAGGTCAGATAAGTGGGAAGATAATTTCCTACAGGTGACATGATCTCCATAGAGTCACAAAGCTAATTGTCTACAATGCCAATTATGGTGAGAAGGCTTAGATGAGAGCAAAGACCTGTCAAAAAAAGGACTCAACACTGAGAAGGCCGCCAGATGCTTTGGGTAAATACTGATTACCTGAATATAAGCTAGCTACTGTGTGAGAAAACACTGAGCCAACTATGTACCACTGGAGGCCCAACTCCCAAATGATGTTTATGTTTTTAGGGGCAGAATAACTAAACCTTTCCACTAGAAGAGTTTAAGGAAACTTTTAAGGACTTACTGTAGTATTATAGTCATAAGAGACAACAGTTACAGATTTTAAATGTGTTGGGAATGGAATAAAGCACTGGGGAAGATCTTTAACTCATACGGATTCATAGTGAGCTGGGGGACCTGTCAAATCATGAAGGATGCTCCCTCGCTGTGCCATGCTTTGACACTGATGTCCAGCACCATACATGCAACTGCTGAAAACACAACTTCCACCCTAGTGCTGTTTGTGTTGAAAATGAGACAAACCAAACAGTGTCCCTGAAGTAAGTTCCCCATCTCCCTCATTTGTCAGTTGGGATATTTATCACTGTGACACAGAGCTCCCTGTTTACCCGAAGTATCCTCGGCCACCATTAGGAAAACTGTTAACAAATGATTTAATTACCTTAGTGGTTGGAGGCTTCTCAGCATCTCCCAGCTGCAAAGATGTCCTCAGACAGCGTCACAAGCAGAATGGCTGTCAAACTCTCACTTTAACGGGCACTTCCATTTAATGTCAAGCTGATGCCTGTGGAAGACCTTGATTAAATCTGCAAACTACACACTAATGCAATGAGAACTTTAGAGTTGTCTCATTTCATCTTCCAAGCTTAAACCACTATAAGAGACCTACATTTGGATGTTCAATGTTCTAAAATGCTCTAAAGCTAACTTAATTCTGTGGTTAAAAATAGCTCCATGGAACACTGCACCAATAGGACTCTGTTCCTATTTCAATTCTTTCATACAGATATATAGCACATTTTAAGATTGAAACTACATTGCTCCAAACAGTCTAGTTTTCTAAATACAATGTCTTTTCGATTTAGATGCTTGTACACAAAGAAAAAGGACAAGTACCTCCCTTACCAGAAAAAAGACTGAAATGGAATGATGGGCTCACATTTTTCACACAGTTGAAAATATCCCTTTCTCTCATATAAAAGTTCCAGATCCTCCGGGTGAGGGGAGATGCAGTGGAGAATCAGGCAGTTAGAAGATGGCTATACCGAACATGGTCTCGTGGGCTGTGCAGGTTCAGCTCACCTCCTTGCCAGAAATAAGCCAGGACCGGGAACTGATGCTGCAGGTGTGCAGTCATTCAGTGTTTGCTAAGTCTCACTGCTTGCACTGAAAGGAATACTAGTTAGCAACTTATTAGGTAATCCCTACTTTAGACCTTAAGCCTTCTTCTTGCCTTAGTAAGAAGCCGGTGAAAAATGATAGGGATTCAGAGTGCCATCACTTACTTAACAGTCTGTCCCTTAATAAATAACTCGAGTAATTCTGTCTCTCAAGTCACCACACATTTTGGTGAGCCTGCTGCCACTCACGGGATGGAGCTTCTCCTTGCTGATGATGAATAACAAACAGGCCATGAAAGGAAGAAAAGTTTCTAATCTTCATTGGTGAAACCTGACTGGGGCCATCAGGGAACGGAGAAAGGGAAGAACACAGCCGCATATGTAAAAAACACAGGGTTGGGTAGGCTGTGCTTGCTTGAATGGAGTGTACCAACTCAAAAGTTCAGGCTTTGACGCTGATCGGCTCTACCTCTTTAAGAGACGGACCCTGCCTCCTGACAACAGTCAGGGCATGCGCAAGAAAACGTGCTACGTCATCACCACGTCTCATCACCACATCACCCGTCACCCATGAGGACTCTGGGAATGTGTGGAACCTCAGTGTGCATGCGCAGTCTTCCCTTTAAAACTCCAACTTCTCTCTCTGCTTCCTCTCTACTCTCCTTTTCAGCTTCTTCTTGGCTCTCTCTCACCTACACGCTCTCTCTGACTCACTATGGCGACCGGCCATGGCGGTCAGCCATTACCCCTGTTCCTCTTCTCTCTTAGTCTCCCTACTCTGCCGGGCCATATAATAAACTAGTCAATATGTCTCATCTTGCAGCTTTCTCTTTTCCTCTTTTTAAATAAGAACATAACACCAACTGCAACAGCAATCAGAAACCGTGTAGATCTGAAGTGGGGAGGGAGGTTAGCTAATCTCAGTAGGCATTCTCCATAGGATAGCAGTCCCAAACTGCAGACACCCCACGCGAGGAAGCTGTGCGTGGGATTTGTTTTTTTTGTTTTTGTTTTTGTTTTTTCTGCATAGTCAGCATTCCCACTCAGACCAGAGGAAGGCTTTGCCACTCTCATGAGTCTCAGGCAATGGAGTCCTATCCATGGCCATGCCCATGTCAACAATACACATTCACGATGGGCATTGGTGGCGCACGCCTTTAATCCCAGCACTTGGGAGGCAGAAGCAGGCGGATCTCTGTGAGTTCGAGACCACCCTGGTCTACAAGAGCTAGTTCCAGGACAGCCTCCAAAGCCACAGAGAAACCCTGTCTTGAAAACCCAGAAAAACAAAACAAACAAACAAAAAACCCCACATACTCACTCAGGACATCTACTCCTTACACGTTCACATGGAGCTTCTCTGCTCCACATATCAGTTGACAGTGGTAAGTATTTTAAATGTCATTTCAAACAAAAAAGTAATGGCTAATCTGCTGTGAAATAAGACTCCCAATTACACAGATACAGTCATATACATGATGGTATTTATTAGCAAAAATACTCCAAAAGAGAACTGGGTCAGAATTATAACATATGAAACTTTAAAAGTTGGTTTTAGTTGTATTGCTGCCTGAGGACTTTAGTGTCTGAGCACCGTTTTAATTTTCTGAAACAGGATTCAAATAAAAACATTCAATGAAAGGTTTCAATAGGAACTCTGCCTCTTTTCATTATGTCAAAAATAAGATGGAAGCGAGCTCGCTTTGCTAACAAATGTATGGACATGGAGGAGGTGGGTAGAGGAAGTTGCTCAACATGAAGGCTTTAGAAAGGCAAACCTTACAAAGTGGAATGTATTTGCTGGGGAAAGGGGTTACTGAAGTGGTCACATCATGAACTAAAATAATCTTCTAGTCCCTCCAGCTCCATTTCCAGGGAGGAGTTCAGAGAGGCCAGTGCAGCCGATGCATCCCTGCTCTTCTGGACACTGGGTTTGGGCTGAGGCGTCTCTGGCTGGCTGGACTCCTTCTTGATGTCTTTGCCACCAGTTAGGATCCGCTGGCTTTCAACAAAGAACTGATTCGGATGATTCAAAGAAAAGCCACAATCATCTACCTGTCCAAGGAAACAAATTTCAACCGTATCAGCACACAGCAAAGCTAGAAATAAAGCTTCGAAGGCTGTCTGCACCCTCACTCACAGCAGGGTGTCTCGATGTGGATCCCAGCTATCCCCACCTGGAATACACACCCACTACTTACCCTGCTTCATCTAACGGAACTTCAGCTGAAGATCCCACAAACACCAGGGCTAGTACAAGTGTATGCTCAGTCCAAACCCATGCAGTTGGCTCTAATTCCTACCCACCATCTACTCTCAACAGGGTAAATGACTCAAAACAGCTGAAACAACATGTCAAACACATTACTCCCACCGCAACCCCCAAAACACGTTCAGGGAACTTGAGTACACTCTGGATGGCAACTCAGTTCTCCACATCCAATGCACCCTCAATTCTTAGAGTATCCACATCATTCCAATGTCTGCTGATGAATACCCATAATAAAAAAAAAAATGTGTTCTATAGTGCTGGCTGGAAGGGCAGCTCAGTGGTAGAGCCCTTCCCCTGCATGTATACAATAGGCCCCTGTACAATAGGAACAAAGTTTGGGAAACACATCTGGGCAAGTCTATGTGTTAAAATGGCCATTAGTGATGGGCAGGTTACTGCACCCCCAGCCCTAAGCAAAAGGCTAAGCACATTTCTGGCCAAGCTTTTCAAAGTGGTATTAAAATTGCTTTGACCGTTTTGATACTGGTCCCTGGTGCCAGAGTGTTTCAGTCTGGCATATGTAATCTCATTTGGCATAATTAAAAGGCCGAACAAGTAATCTCCCTTAATGTAACTTCCCCATGTTAATATGGGGCATCCTGTGATTTGTCCTGCTGTAGGAATCTTGTTTTTACATTTTCACTGTGGCTTAGTGGGAACCTAACAGTTAATGCTACTTCTTTTCCTCAAATACTGAACATCGAGTATTAGCTCACATTTCTCATTAATCTGCACCTTTAGTAATCACCGAGGAGCAAAGACTATTATTCCCAGATTTTGATTCTAAAACTTACTGATGGTGAACAAAAACATCTTTCTTACTAGCAGCAAATACTTGTTGTCCACTACATCCCAGGTATCACAAGCACACTCTCCTTCATGCACTCAGCTAGAGTGTCGTTATATTTCAGGATTTTTAGGTAACACAATTGAAAAAACAAGGTTAAGGATCTTGCCCAACATTATACTACCAAGGATGGAGATGGGTTTGAATGACTGTCCTTGGGCCAAGGTCAAAGTATTGTACATATACAATAGTCATTCCTGAAAACTGCAGTCTTCTGCCTTAGTGATTCTTAAAAGATGTGACATAATATAGCAGGAAAACTTTTATTTAAAATGTGATTTTTCAAGTCATTTTTCTTCATACTCAACTAATGAGTTAGACTACTGCTTCTATGAAACACACTGCCTAGCATGAACCCTGACCTTCTCACCTACAGTTAGTGATAACAAAAGATACCACTTTGCTTGGTTTTTAAAATGTGGTATTTTCAGATCAGAAACCATTAGGCTATATCATATTTGTCTTACTATTCATTCATTTATTTATTACAGATAGTGTCTCTATGTCTTTGCTGTGTTATCCTGGCTTGCCTTGGATTTGTAATTCTCCTGCTTCAGGCTCCTGCACAGCTGAAACTACAGGTTTGTGGCACCGTTTTTGGCTTTTACCATTTTTAACACCTCACTCTGTCTTGAGCTGGCTTGTACACAATAGGTATGTAATAAATATTTACTGAGTTGAGCCCAGAACCAGCTAGTCATATATTTCATGCCTTACTGTATACATGGCTGTGTTATAATCAGAAGCTTTTCAGAATGTGAGAGTGCATTTGACTAAAACAAAAGCTGAAGAAAATCATAGCCTTGTAATTTCCAAACTTAAAAAAAAAATCATTTCCAGAAATGGAAAGTGGAAGGGTTACAGATAAAGGTAAGCTGAAAAAAAAATCATTTCCAGAAATGGAAAGTGGAAGGGTTACAGATAAAGGTCCATTGCTCTGGCTATGCTGATCAAAGAAGGCTTTGTGGGGAAGTGCTCTTTGATGGAGTGGCAAGATGGAGAGGACAAAAGGCTGGGGTGGGAAGCAGACAGCACAGGAGCTGCAGGAGCACAGAGCAGGGTGAAGAGGGAATGGCACAGGGAGCAAGCGGTTCACATGGCCTGGTGTAAAGGGCACTCGAGAGATAAGAAGAACAAGGTTACAGAGACTGCCAGGGACCAGGCCTCCGAGATCTTGCAAAGCAGATCTGTCTAGACATAATTCTCTAAGCACAGGGGAACTGGAATTGTAAGGGTCCTTAAGGAGGAGAGGGGTGTGATTAGGTCTATATAAATCTTATGGTGGATTAATCTGGACTAGTAGGGAGAAAAGGAATTGCTATGACTCAGAATGAGCCCTCAGTGGGTGGAACATGAGCCAGAAAAAAAGAGGGTTTCCTGCTAAGACTCCACCTCCAGAGTTCCTGATCCTTTGGCCAGTTAATAAACACTAGGCCAGTAATTGTAGTTACATTACTCTGTTAAGTGACTAATTGTTTATATTTAGGTTTTAGGATTATTATACAGATCACCAAGAAGAAAAAAAAAAACTTTATCCTTTTAACAATGGGGCTGCTTAACTTCTAAGTATTTCTCAATGTTTTATGATAAATTTATAATTTTCATTTAACAATGCCATAATTTGTGAACTTCTTTATCTGATCTCATTCAATTCCTGAAAAACTTGGAATGTTTCATAAGAAGTTTAAACATTTCAACCAGAAGGCGTCACATTTTATGAACAGAAAATCAGAGGTCTCCTTTAACTGAACCCCTCCATGTACAGACTGGCAAGCTAATGCTTCCGGAGATTATGATTTGCTCAGTCATTAAGCTAGCAACTGGATTTATGTGAATTAAAATACATCTCCCACTACATCACTCATGGATATTTACTGAAATCAACAAACATATCATAGAAACAGGTGAACATCATTGTTTACTATAGCATTATTCACACTAAGAAAATTATGGAACCAACCTAGCCATCCAGCAGCCAGGGAATAGACAAAGAAAATGTGATGTATATACACAATGGAATACTTTCAGACATCATGAATGGAGTTATGTCATTTGCAGGAAAATGGATACAAGTGGAGACAATCATAGTAAGCAAATTAAGGCAGCCTGAAAAAGACAAATATCCCCTTTTCCCTCATCTGTGGTTCTTAGATGCTATATATGCATTAAAGTCAGGTGCGTGTGTATGGCATGAAAGGAAAAATGAAACTGTTGAGGGGAACAAAGGGTGAGAATGGGGAGGAAGACATGCTCAACATGCCACACATTAAAATGTCCTTCTGTAAACAATAGCACATACCCACATACAGATGGAATTAAACAAAACAAAAACCGAAGCCAGGTCTCTTGGCTAGGGCACTTACATTTCTCTAAAACTGGATTGAGAGGCTTTATGCAAAATCAAACAGACAACCAAAGTTTTATAAGACTTGGCTTTAAATGTTAATTTTTAAGATTTTTTAAAAATTTTATGTGTATGAGTGTTTTGCCTGCATGTATGCAAGCACCTACCCCAAGAGCTGGAGTTACAGATGGTTGTGAGCTGCCATCTGGTGCTGGGGGCCAAACCCAGGTCCTCTGCAAGAACCACCAGTGCTCGTGACTACTGAGCCATCTCTCCAGCCCCTTTAAAGATTATTTTTCACAAAGCCTTTTTTAAAAACCTCTTACAAAAATAATCTAATCCTGGCAAAATAGTAATATAGGGTGGATTTTCTTTCTCTCTTTTTTCTCTATGAGGGATTTTCCTGTATCTTCCTTCAGGTTGTTCAAATGTTTAATCCACCTGTCATTACAGAAGATGACTGAACTAAACTGATGTCTCAGAATTCAGAGTGAGCAAGAGAAAACACAGTAATCCTTCTAACCCTCACTTTTCTCAACTATGGAATGGCGTAATAATAGTGCTATGACATCGGGTTGGTGTGGGGGAAAACTAATGAAATATGAATTTCTAAAAAGTTGTGGTTCTATGGAATCCAAACTGAATATTTTAAGGTAAACCAGTTAAAAATGAGGTAGAATTCCCAAGATAATAAAGCTATCATTATGCTTTTTTGTCACTTTAAAGAAACCCAAGCTGGAAACTGGTTGCATATCACAGGTATGCAAGAGAGAAATTAATTTAACCATAAGACTATACTCAACAGTTCCTTGCTTTTTACATCAAAGGTTAGCAAGTGAAGGGCAGATGAGTGTCTTAGCTCTAATACATTTAAGGGATGTACTTTTTAACTTTAAGACCTTTACTAAGCATTTAATTTACAGCAGAGCCTGGACCCTGTGACAGGCTGATACCATGATCTGTGTGGTGTTTCCCGATAAATCTCTCAGGTACACATGGCTCTGACTGTTCTGCTAAACTTGTGGCCTGGAAGCCAATTGTTGGTGTGATGAACTTTCTCCTGACTGAACTGCACTTCTCAGTGAATCCTGGCTCTCCCTTTTGTTCTGAAGAAAGCATATATGGTCCATGCAATCTTCTTTTATCTTATTCAGAAAAACAGACTTGAGGTTTGTTTAGGAAAAAAGTACAGTTATAAACCAGACCAAAAATGACAGTAAGCACTCTTTAAATTCAACTTCTGGAAAAGGAATTCATCCCAATTCCTTACTCATTTTGCAAATCCTCAAGGGCCAGTGGCTTTTTTTCTTTATTATTTACCAAAACAAACAAACAAAAACAAAACTACTTTTGATGGAAACTGCTGCATTGTGACTTTCCATGGTTGTACTTATGAACCACCCCACCCCTTCCCACTGGCTGCTACTATTAGTGAGGGTTTCTTTGTGGCTGATTTTAATTATGTTTACACATGGTACTGGGAGAGGTAAACGATGTGGCACATTTCCATTTTTACATATTTTGTATTACTGTGAGAAAACACTCAAGATAAACAGCTTCTAAAGGGGAAGAGGTTATTCAGGTTCACAGTTCTGAAATTTCAAAACAAGTGTCTGTTGCTCCTGCCCCTGTGCTGAGGCACATCACAGAACATGGTAGAGCAATGACCAACATCCCAATGTCTTCAAGGGCATGGCCTCCATGACTTACCTTCCTTCCACTAGATCCCACCCCCTAGAGGCTCATAGATACCAAGAGCTGGGGGTGGGTCTTTGTGGGGAGGGGTTTCAGAGGTGAAGCATGCAACATATTCACCTGGAAGGTCCTCAGAACTGTTAAGAATCGGGACCAGGTCAGCAAAGCTGGTGACAGTGCTTAATAGGACACATTATAAATTTCTTCAGAGAAATGGAAATCCACAGATAGGTATGAATGAAATAATCAAATTCCATTACTGTAAACAACCCCCCCCCTCGGTGTGAAGAGGGAAGAAGGGGCATGGAGACAAGTGTAGATTCTGAGACATGAGACAGGAAGCTATGATGGGTTCTAAATGAGACATGATGGTGGGTGGAGCTTTTAGCCCAGAAGCCAATTGCTATCTGTAAGGATGACCCCACACCAATAAAGACTCTTATGTGCATTTCATACACCCCATTTAAGACTTCAGGAAAAACTGTGATAGGTTTTGACAAGACTTTTGTAGCAATTTATATAACAGGGGTGAAATTATGCTCAACTACTTGGAAAATAAATCTCCAGTGAATATTCAAAGGGATCTATTTCTAAAAAAAAAAAAAAAAAAAAAAAAAATTCATTTAAGACTCAAAGATTAACACGAGGCCCAGTGTTTCCACTTACAGTCAAATCACCCCAGAATGCAAATGATGGGGTGCAGCAACATAGAACTATTTTGAACACTGCCCCTTAAACACAAGGCAGACAGCTACCAGTAAGTCAGCTTTTGATACCCACTGAAGGAATCAATATATTCCACATGATGACCTTCACACAAACGTAGGTCTCATATTTCTGCCACAGCAAACATAGATCTGAGGAATGGAAGCAGTGCTGTTTTACCTGTGGGATACTCGGGTTTTAATCAAGAGGTTTCGCAATGACAGCCTGTAATGAGGCAGCTGGTGTTACCACACAGCCATATGGAGCCATCACACTGCTGTTGCAAACGGTATCAATTAGCAAGTTCATCTTCAAAACTTGCACTTAAGTGAATGCCATCAAAGGGGCCTGAGGAAAATGAACCCAGAGGTTTACTGGGGAGGGAGACAGGATGGCAGAAAGTGAGTAATAAAAATAGATTCTAATTTTAAATTCATTCTAATTTAAAATTATAAATGGAGAGATCCACATCTAAAAATCGATATAGACCTAATGAATACAAATATTTACATGAAGTCCAAGCTACACTACTTTCATGTATGAAAGCATTTAGATGCACATCTTCAGTAAACTAAGGCTAGGTTTAAAAACTGGCAAACTGTAGTCCTACTTGTGTTGGATATCACAAAAGCACACTTACAAATTCACTAGATTGGGGTGTGGCTCACTTGGTAGAATGTTTGCCTATTATCCCAGAAGGTGAAGGCAGGGGGATGAGGAATTCAAGGTCATATTTGAGCTACATAATGACTCTGAGGCCAGTCTGAGCTATACTAAAAAACCCAAAGCAAACATAGAAAAGGGGAGAGGGAAAATAACTTAAGCCTAATTTCTTTATAAAATTAAAGATTAGATGGAGGATCTCAAATTTTGAAAGTCTGAGGCTTTTTAGTTAAAAGGTTCACAAGTGATTAAGAGCATATATGAAATGAAAACTCTCAAGCTAAGCCAGCAAAGTAAGAAATGCAGTCCTGTCATGAAACCTTGGAGGCAGATTAAACAATTATCAAGTGGCAGCCACAAAGACTTTTTTCAATGAAGGATGAAAAAGGCCACTGGTTCATCTGGACAGGTGTGGCCAAGGTTCCAGATCTAATCTAGTTCAAGGATTGGCAAACTAAAACCTATAGGTCAACTCTGGCCCTCTCTCTAGACAAAGTTCTGTAAGTTCTCAGCTATGACTACCTATATATTTTCTATGGTAGCTTTTGTGATGTGTAACAGACATCATAAAGTCTCTGTACCAAAAACCTCAGCAACCTTGGTTCTTGAACCTAGACAGAAAGTGGTGGGTACAGTGTGGTGGGTGCAGTATGGTAAGATCCTCTTATGATGTATCTTCCTTGAAATGCTCCTGGTTCTATAGGACCAATCTCAATTCTTTGGAGCTTTTATAAATCTTGACAGTGACTTAAAACCATGTAACAAATCTCTTTTTTTGTTGAAATATGGAGAGTGGCTTTCACTAGAACAACTAAAAGCACCGAGCAAAACACAGAGTAACCACCTTAGGCATCATTCAATAAATGTAAACAATGTACTTACGTTATGTGTCATCTCGAAGTACTTCTGACAGGCTACCTGGTAGTGAGTCCCCTTTACTAAATCCAAAATCTAAAATGAAAGGGGGAAAGTAAGAAAGAAAAAATACAAGTTAAGTTTCCTCTAAGCCACTGTGGTCACAGTTGCTGGCCTTCTCATAGTCTCCATTCCAAAACAGAAACTCAATAAATAAATCATGTAGTGCTGCACTGTGCTTCTGCAGCCTGGACACTACAGTGATGCTGAGATTATCCAGGAGTGGTTTAGTTCAGCATTAAAACACGATGATAAGTGATAGCAAGTGAGCTTTCTGACCTGCTACCCGAGGATTTTAATAACATTACTTTGACTGCAAGATGACAGCAGATCCTGGTATTTTGATTTTGATGGTACTGTCAGCATATCATATTGCAGGATCTTTTTTAACATGTGTAGCTATAAATCTACTAATCTAACAGTAGAGGCATGAAGCAATAAAATACACTCTTTAGACTTATTTTCACATTATCTGTTTATACAGATGCAGAACTAAACACTGTTGTGAACCCAACATCAGGAAACCTGAACCAAAACATTCTGAACCAGCATAGAGAGGCAACAACTTACCTTCAATCAGATTGTCTTTTCTGTAATGAAGTTACTACTAGTAAAACTCAGCATAACATGGGAGTGAATAGCCTATTCTGAGCATCTATTAGGGATGCCATCCTATCTTGTGTAAATACAATTTTCCTTCCAATAGTACTTCATGTAATCTCTTCAGAATGGCATAGGTACCCATCCTTATCAGCAAAGCACAATGGTAGCTGAAACTTGTAAAGTTTCATTGCCTTCTGCCACTTCCAAATAAATAAAATATACATATTTGACAAATTTATCAAGCACAGAAAAATGCTGGAATTAAGAGATAACCTCAAATGAAAGGAAATAGAATTCTAGAGAATTTTTAATTTGTTCAGCCTTTCAAAAGGCTAACCTTCCTGCCACAAAAGAAATGAATGCAGTCTTGAACTCCTGCTATCCCCATCATGGAATATTGCTTTACAGTTTTTACAGAACATAAGAAAATTACAGTTGTAGAAGGGGCATTGTGCACCATCAAGAATTTGCTAAAGGGCTGTTTTCGTCTGCTGTTCTTATATCCAAATTTTATATCACTTTAAATTAACTTCTATCTAAAAGATTTGTGTAATTATCAACCTGCCACAGAACTTGGGTTTTTGTCTACCTCTATGACACATTTTTCCTCAATTAGAGAAAAATAAAAAAACAAATTCATTAAAAATAAATGACAATAAATAAATGAAGTCACAAAATTTTATAAGTAATGCCAACTCATTGAGCTTATGATTTGCCACACAGCCATTAAAGCTGTGTAGTGATGAACTTGAAATTAATTACTGAATAATAAACACAACAGGTTGACATATATGAATTGTCATTTGAAGGAGACTTCAAACACAAATTTAAGATTTGATGACATAAATTACCTAAAGATGAAATAAATTCAGAAATAGAGTTGAACCATGTGGTATATTTATGTTCCTTTTATGTAAAATCAAAACAAGGGAATGGTGCAGGCCACAAGTGGCTGGGTCTTCTGACACCAACAATCGAGGTAGCCCCCATAGACATGCCCCACAGACCAGCCTATCCTTCATGTAAGACTCCTCCCAGGTAAGTCAGGTTATGTCAAGTTGTCAGTCAAAACTACCCAGCACAGGTGACTACACACATGTAAGAAAGCTAGTGACAAATATGACACAGAACATGAGAAATGCAGTCTTAACTGAAAACGCTAGTGGTTTTTCTTGTTGTTTGTTTTCATTAAATTCATATTAAGAAAACAGCTCTTTCTATCTACAGAGGTGGCTCTTCTTTAATGGACATATTTTGGTTTGAAATCATTCACTCATCTATTTTAAAAGACTCTTACTAATCATACCACAGCATGTTTGAGGTAACATATGTGTCTACTGTGAAGGAATGATGAAAACAAAGACAATAGTGAGTTTTCTTTTTGTTTTGTTTTCTGGCAAGAACAAGTGACAAATTTAGAATACAGGAGATGAAGCAGAGAAGGTTAAAGGAGAATACATGCTGGGGGGGGGGGGGTGAACCAGGGAGAGTTCCGAGAGACAGGGAGAGTGCTTTGGGGCAATTAGGAGGCAGTGTCAGATACTATCTTCATTTCAGACGAGAAATACATCCTCTTAAAATAAAGTTGCCTGGAGGTCTCATTAGGGACAGGATCAATTTTAGAAAGAATTAAGAAATCATGTGTAGCTTAATCTAGTTTCCATAGAGGAATACACCAACAACTTACATGTCTTCAGTATTAAAAAGAAAATGTCAAACTACCAAAGAACACAATTACCAAGAGTCCAGATTATGATCTATATTGCAGAAATTCAGGAAGACATGTGATCTCTCAGCCAAGGGTGATGAACTGACTTACTCTTAAACCAGACTCATAACTGTAAAGGGCAGACTAGGGACACCAGACTCTAAGGCTGGCTGGTGAATCCCACCGGGGTGAGCATAGAGGCAGTGGTGGGAAGTACTCAGACGTGGAGATGAAGCATTTCCTAATAGTCAAGCAGGCACTTTCCATGAAAATGTCCAACCAGAGCCTGTTCTAACACTTTAAAACAATGCACTACTCAGCCTTAAACCCTGCCTTCTCAAACCACTTCCTAAATATCATAAACTAGGTTTTTTAAAAGAATTTTTTTCCTCAGAGAATGATTTGAATCCTTCAACAACAAGGCTCAAGGCACATAAAGTCTTTTCATTTTCATTTATTAATTGTACAAGCTGATGGGTTTCATTACGGCACTCGGCACATATACATAACATACTTGGTCTTCTTCAGTCCTTTGATATCCTGTCCTGTTCCTAACTCCCACTGTTCTCCTCCCCCTACCTCTAACCCTCCCTCCTAGTTTCATGTAGTTTGATGCAGTATCTATATACAAACCTACACATTTATCAACACAATGTGCTAGGTCCATTTTCTGCTCTTAGGGCTGACACTTGGCACTGGATAAACCAATTAGGGGTTGTATCCTGGGGGGGGGAGGTGATTGTTCTCTCAGCAATCATTAAGTGCCTATAGCTTTTCATGTAGAGGTAGGGACTTGTGAGAGCTCCTCCATCAACACTGGCATGTTAGCTAGTGTTGTCAGTGTTCAGGTCTTGTTAGGCAGCCATACTGTTATGGTTTCATGAGTGTGCTTCCCTGTCCTACACAGAAGGCACAGCCTCTCAGCTGCCTTCCTGGTCTTATGGCTCATACAATCTTTCCACTCACTCTTAAGGGAAGTGGACAGGATAGTACTGTTTTTCCTATGATCCAGCTGTTTGTTATATATTGGCATTTACTTCTTATATAAAATATGTACAAAATACCATATATTAGTCACTAAACACAGCTAGTTGAGTGCTTTTTGAGTGCTAGCAGTTATGGAATGTAGAACCATAATGCTAACATTGTGTGTGTAGACACACTCTACTGACTTCAGAAATCTTACAAGGGATTTCTGAAGTGTTAGCATTTGCCTGTGTAGTGCAACTTGATGTTGGTTTACTCTTAATTTTGTTGAATTTTCTGATATGAACATAATAACTATTAAACACTGTATTAAGACAACAAGATGGGAGGCATGGAATATAAAGTTAGAAATGAAAAGGAAAATCAAGATTTGCCCAAAATACTCTAAGTTTGTGAATTAAAAAAAAAAAGCATAATTGTAAATTCAGTAATCCAAGAAAGGCTGGAAGATGCCTAGGTCAGACTTAGAGGAACAGAATTCAGGTCAGAATAAAAGTGTTCCAAAGGGTAAAATGCTGAAGAAAATGATGACGCCAGACAACAGTACTTCTTAGCAGTGTTGTTCTTCCAGCATCAAGTCTAAAGATCACAAAAAGATTACTCCCTATATTAGTTCACTTTATGTTGCCATAACAAAATGCTCAAAATTGGGTACTTAATTTAATAAAGGTTTATTAGCTCACAATTTTGAAGGAGGAAAAGTCTAAGATAGTGAAGCCCCATCAGTTTGGCTTCTATTGGGGATGTTAGAAAGGAAAGAGCTATCATAAGGCAAGAAGGGAAGCCAGAAAGACTCAAAAGTCATAGCAGCTCAATCTCATGGGGTCCTATGAACTGCTGGTCCTTTCCGAGAGGAGACTTAACTACCATCACTAAGCTACACTATGACAGGCTCACCACAATGAGTCTAAGCTTGTGCAAACACTGAAACCATATCCAGACATGCATTTGCAAGGACAGCAGCAGAGATCAACCTAGAGTAAGAATCAGAAAGAGGATGGGTCTGAGAAAAGCGTACCCCTCAAAGGTGGGACTCATGTCAAGAAGACATAAAGAAGCAAACAGTAGGAAGAGTGGGCCAGGAGGGGAAACAAGGTGCCATGGAGTCTGCAGCCTGTTACTCCACTGTAGCTCACAGAGGTCCTTCAACAGCAATAACAAGGACTCTTCAGTCTTCCTGTTCCATTCTGAGAGACCCCAGCAAACCTTCCTCTTATAGACAGCACTAATTCCAAAGAACAGCTCCCTTAAGGCCGGAGGGAAATAAACCACAGGCAACCCTGATGCCAGCCTAACAAGCTTTCTAATTATGCTCCAGAGAAGTATAATCAAACTAAACAATCACCTCAATTGTGAAAACATAAAATTATCAAAGAAAAAATTCCCATGAAGACCCAAGAATATTTCTCACATGGTAATAAGACTTAGTGTTCACACCAGTATTTAGAGTACAATTGAGATGTAAGAGCATCATTGTGGTAGCCTGGCTCTTAATAACAGAAGGACTATGCTTATGTCATGTGTATTCCTTTACTTTCCCCCGACTTTAATTCATCTCTACTAGCGATTAAAAAAAAAAAAAAAAACACCAAGAAGAATTCTAAACTTTTGAAAATGAAATAGTTCAACTTTTCATCTTCACAAAAATTTCATCAATTTGTATTTGCTATGTTTAGTAAAAGAAATTAATTATAATATATCCTCAAGACAAGTTACTGGTTATTTTCCTAAGAGAATT